CGTCGTTGATAATCCATGCGAAAATAAAAAAAGCTTTGAGCTCAAAATATATCTTGAAGTGTGAGGAGATGGAATTTCTCATAGAATAACACAAGGTCCCTTCTTCTTGGGGCGATATTTTCTGGATTCATCTCGAACCATTCCATTGTCCATGGTGTTAGCACGGGGACTCTTTCCAGTACCCGAAGCTGAAGATCTCTGCTGACGCTGTCTGCGAAGTTGTCGTACTACATCATAGAATGCCTTTTCGACATTAACACAATTCTTCGCTGATGCTTCAACAAATTCGCAGCCCAACTCTCGCGCCAATGCATGACCTTCCTGTGTGGATACCTCACGTTCCGTAACTCTGTCGCATTTGTTTCCCACAAGCATAATCGGTACGGGTTCCGAAGGCGAGATGGGTGATATGGGAGAACCGGGATATATGGGAGAGGAGGAAGATGATTCCTTTACTCGTTGAATTTGATTGTGAAATCTTTGAATGCGCGTAAAGGATGATCTCGATGATATACTGTAAACCAAAACGAAACCTTCACCATCACGAATCCATTGATCTCTTAACGCAGTATATTCTTCTTGACCGGCAGTATCGAGGACTTCCAACATGCATGATTGACCGTCTATGGCGACTTGTTTTCGATATGAATCTTCGATTGTAGGATCGTACTATGGCAAAGTAAGCATGTGATAATAATCAATCGAAAGGGCAGGTGGGATAACTTACGGTCTCGACGAAATGCTGTAATGTTAATTGAATTGTCAAAGCAGTTTTACCCACACCTCCATCACCAAGTACCACCAATTTGTACAAGACCATTTGTTTGGAAGACATCTTTGAAGACGGAGCTTTGGCTTCTTTGTGACCTTCGTTTGTGACGTATCGTATTGAAGTTATATCGAGAACGAAGGATGAATTGGGAAGGAGATAAGACTATGGACTATGGACTATTGAGTGGTATGGAGTGAAAGACAATAGGATGTAGACGGGAGGGTACGGTAGGATGTAGAATTGAGATTTTGGACGTTAGACTGGAGACTGTAGAGCATAGACTAGATCTGTTGAAGTAATAAATGAGGGAGGCAAGGTAAGTGGGTTGTTGGTATGTTGGGTGTGGTTTGGAAGAAAACAATTCGTCAAAAGATGCAAGATCCTTTAATTCTTTTTGCTGTGCTGTGCTGTGCTGTCTGACTGTCGGTGGGAAAGATAGATTTGGGTAGGTATGGGTTTTACTTTGGTCCTGGGCTGCAAGTGGAGATTCCTTTCTGGTCTGGTCTGGGAGGTACTGGAGTGGAAGTGGGTATGAAAAGAGAAGCTCGGACTTCTTTCCGCGTTATTAGTATGTGATGGATTATGTGGGAATATATGTTGTGTTTATATATGGACGTTTATATTCAATATATATACCTAGATAGGTATATATCTAGGTATATATATGCCAATCTGAAGAGTTGATGGGATTTATACGTTGGAGGATTTTGATAGGGTTGAAAACTAGCTCCCTCAGTACCTAGGTAGATGGAGAGAAGTAGGTAGGTAGTAGGTACCTAGGTAGGTAAGATCTTATTATCATCTCCCGTCTAGTGGGTAAGAAATAGTAATCATAAGCTGCCAAGATAGAGAAGAGGTAACAATCAATCCCATTACACTTTTTACTCTCCTACCCTTCACTCCAGTACATACTCAATCATTCAATGCAATAGGTTCATCAACTGACGACGACGACGATGATATAAGAGAAGTTGACCTACCTTAGGCCTTAGTTGACCTCTTTTGCCGCTACCCGTTATTTTTCTCACGAATTGCTTTTGCTTTCCCTTGTGGGATGTGAAGCTACCGGCCGTATCAAGGGAATACGAGTAGGGTATGTTTTGCTTTTCTTTGGATGAATAATAATGAAAGGAAATCCATCCAGCCAGTGCTTTTGTTCTCAATCCCAATGGGTGTTTTCCCCATTTAAGATTTTTCTTCTTGTTGGTTTTTTTTGTTTGTTTGGGTGTTGATCAAGGGTTCTATTCCGCTTTGGATGAAGTGGAGTGATCACAGCAAGAGTAGGGTATGCAGATATGTATGTAGGTGCTCTGGAGTCTGTAGATGTACGATACCCAGGTAGGTAGCTGGAGACACTTAATGGCCGAGACTGCGAGACTGCGAGATTGATGGATTGATGGATTGGGATGGTAGATTGGTAGATTGGTAGATTGGGATGATATCAAAAATTGGATTTCATTTTATTCTACTACCAAGGTCCTCTTCTTACTACCTAGTACTTACTACTTACTACGTCCCTTACTCCTCTTAGATAGCTAGGTAGGTATAGATATAACTTACTAAAGAATTCTTCTTCTTCTTCTTTCCCCTAGAACCACAATCACCTTCTTTTGACTTTCACCACACATTGAAAGGATCCATATATATACAGGTGCTCACGTCCTCACACACTCACTTCGCCATCCTCACCATAAACCCTTTCCCCTTCCACAACTTCCACTCACCCCCACTATTACCGACAAGAAATGCACCATGAAGCTAGGTACCCAGGTCATCAAGAAACAAATCAAACTGCGTAAACACCATACTGAGCCACACTCTAGAAAGCCCTGGAGATTCTCTGTAGAAGAAACATGGTATCAATTTGTACGTTTCGATTGATTTGCCGACGAATCGTCTTCAACTTCGCTTCGGATCTGCAGATGTAGGTATGTGGGAAAAGCCGATGTGATTTGATTTGATATGATATGATGAGGCAATCTTGTTGTTTGCCGGTACCAGAGAATCATTTGATGGATGGGATGGGATAGTATTGACTTCTCAGCATAAAATATCAGCTATATATATCCCAACCCCAACCCCAACAACTGAATGAAGCCGGATGTGGAATTGCAGGTGTAGATGGGATAGGATGGATGGAGAAAATAGAAACCTAATAGGCACCTAGCCGATGTATCTGGGTAGATGTGTTTTTGATTACCGATACTTTATATATTATTATTGGAGAATACAAGTATCGGGCAGAGAAGAGATTCAACACTATATATTACCTACTTAGTAGTAATCGAGTAGGAACTTTCAGATTCCCATTGCACCCCCTCCTATATCCTCCACACCTGGGCATGCAGAGAAAGGATATGTAGATCAAGGCAGCGATCATCTAGAGCTCATTTCCTCTTCTGTTCGTTGAGATGTTGATTGATTGATTGATTGTGGGTTTGATCATGTTGATAGATGTTGATGTTAATTCAAATCCTCCATTGATTAATCAATTCATTCCATCATTCCATCACTTATTACTTGGGTATAATTGTAAGTCTTACATCGCACTGATCAATATCTACAATATCCACCTACCTAGACAATACCATACTAACCCATTCATCCATCCATCCACCTCCTCCTCCATTTTCTACCTACTAGGTGCCTACTATCTACATACCTACCTAGTATTTATTAAATCTCTCTCTTTCTCTCTCTCTCTCCCAAAAAATCCGGTAGCGAGAACCCCAATTTCCAATTCCCAATTTCCCAAGTTCCAAAGAACCCCCCAAGAACCACCAACCACTCCCGTCCTGCAAATTGCGAATTGCGAATTGCAAACCACTAATAAACTCCCTCCCTCCCTACCTACCTAGTACCTACCTATTACCTATGACCCTCTACGAGTATTTCCAAAACGAATGCATAAAACACATGAATAACATTTCCCAAGCCTTCCTTGGATTACCTACATATCTACGATACATATCTACATATCTATATTACAATTAACAAGGTAGACCTCGGTAGATCTAGACCTAGGTAGGTATCTACCTAGATACCTAGGTCCCAAGACCAGACAAGATATTATGCTATATTATGCTATATACACCAACTATACCACGCTATACCACACCACGCTATACCACACCACGCTATACCACACCACGCTATACCATACCATCCCATCCCATCCCATCCTATGCACCGCCATACCTACCTAGTAGATACCTACCTACAATACTCCTCCTATCCTCTAGAGCACACACAGTACGGACAAACGGCGTTCATTCAATATAATCATCAAACATTCGCACTCTAGGGGATACCATGCTATACCTACCTAGTATACATACATAGTACTCTCAACTCAAATAATTCGATACTCCTACCAACCAACCTACCATCCTACCTACATAAAAGTATCACACCCCTCAAATTACCTACGAATCCATAACAGATAACAGATAACAAATACCAAATCATCAATTCAAGTATGTATCTACCGCTTGAACATTTCAAGACGGATTTCCGTGAGGAATTACCATTTCACTTTCTTCCCATCCCATTCCCTCCCTTTGCCTCCCGCAGTATCACATATATCATTCTCAACATACATTATACAATATACAATATACAATATACAATATACAATATACAATATACAATATACAATATACAATATACAATACATATACAATATACAATATACATATACAATATACAATATACAATATACAATATACAATATACAATATACAATATACAATATACAATATACAATATACAATATCAATATACAACATACAATATACAACCCACCTCTTCCTACTCTGAAAAATAAACTAGGTACTCGCACATCCTATAATAAAACATCACATACACAATTCTATCATCCCACTCCATTTTCACATCTCCTAAAATGGTTGAATAGATTCATTGGTATTGACCATCATCTATGAAATCTTTAGAAATAGGTAGGTAGTTAAGCAAGTACCAAGATAGGATGATCTAAAAAACATATCCCTAGAAAAATAGAAAAAATAAAAAAAGATCATTGCCAATCATAAAATACCCCCCTTGAACACCCTACCACACCAGTTGTGAACCATCAAAATGGGGATCCGCCCCCTCCAAGTGTATAGAGGGTTGAAAGAAACAAGTAAACCAAATCGTAACCAGAAGGGTGACCTCCTATATCAAAATGCCTTCCCAAAAGAAATGTTTCCTGTCAAAAGATGACCCTCTATTCCTTTACTTCATGTTGGTCTGAGAATACATCTCCGTGCGACTTTTTCGTTGCATCTTGTGTCATGGCTGATAAACTAGCATCCGATTTTCGACCTGTGTTGGGAGGATCACTAAAAGGTCCTTGAGGTGTGATTGGCGTGCCATCTTCGATTAAAGTGATAGCATTAGAGTCTCGGGGAAATAATGATGATGGGACTCCTGTCGCTTTTGTAGGCTCAGGTGAAGTTGCTTTTGATAAGGTAGAGTTCACTCGAATGACTTGTGGTTTGGTCATTGTCGCAGCACTAGCAGCATTCAAGAATGTACTGCCTACAGAGAATGCTGGGCTAGGGGGGTTTTCAGAGTATTTTTTGAAATCAACGCTTGGAACTGGAGGGGTGATGGTGCCACCAGATGAACTTCCTCCCGCTTTGTTGACACTGACAACAGCTGCTTTTCCTCGAATGACTGTCTGAGCTGGAACTGGTGACACAATAGCTTGTTTTCCGTATATAGTAGATGCCACACTATTTCGTGCGTACGAGTTCCGTTCACCAATTCCACTAATTCCACTGTATGTTGAGTCACGTAGATCTCCTGGCATGAAGAAATGTTCTTGCTCATATCTTGGCGATCCAGATGAGTTTGATAAAGCAATTGGGATCGGAGGAACTGGAGGAACAAGAAGACCTGGAGTGGATGGAGTGGATCTGTTGGTAACACCTGGGATGTATGCGATTTGAATGATGTTCGATGCTCGTGTAAGCACTGTAGATGCAATTGATCCAACGGTATGTGTAGAAGCTCTTGCGTCCCTTCGCATTGCAAAATCTTTCTCTCCATTGGCTTGCTCTTGGTTCTCTATCCAGTCATCTTGCTCGAATTGTTGTCGCTTCGTCTTGATGCAGAACCTCCATACGAGATAAGTAACGGCTGCGACCGCTAGGACTCCTCCGATGACTCCTCCCGCAATAGCGCCTGCATTTGGACCGGATTTCGTTGATGAAGATGAACTAACAGTCGTCGAAGGTGCAGCAGAAGAAGCCACACACACTGTCTGTTGACATGCTGTACAAGTGGGTGGGACGAGGGAACAAATCTCATCATCGGCACAACTCGGACATGCCGGACTGGCTCCATCGCATTCAACACATCTTCGAAAAAGAGTAGGGAAGGATGCTGCAATTGATTAGCAACAAATTGTTACCTTTCGAGGAGTATCACCTACATTCGTAATACGCCATCTTTCCCAACACTAACTGCGATAAATTGTCGTGCCGTATGGAATAAATTGAGAGTGAAACAGTCAAGGTTGGTTTGGGATAGATCGAGGAGATCGAAAGGTGTTGGTAATTGAAGGCTTGGCCTGTATATAGTTGTTGGTGAAAGGCAACAGAAGAGAGCCGGCTCGAGAAAGGTGAGTGGTGGGAAAATAAAATAAAATATCGAATTGGGTATAAGCTATGAGAGCAGTGAAATGAAAAATCGTAAAAGTAAAGATGAATTGATCGAAACTCAAATGGTTAATGCCGGCGCTGAAAGAACGAGGTGATACAGTGACGATACGATACGGTCGCGAGATCAAGTTGGAAAGTAAAGTAGGCAAGATTTAAAACGAATGTTGGTTTGAGCGAACTCTTATTATTGCGGTCGTAAACAAGGTCGATTACGACTCCATCTACATTGACGACTGAAATCTAGACCGACGATGAGGGGAATTAAACGGTCGTACTGGTAGTCGTGATGATCATTTGCGATGAAAAGTGATGGTGTAGATGAGATTGGGTTGAATTGATGGAGATCAATCTATCATTAGTAAGTAGCACATTGTGTGTTCGACGAGTAGTTGGTTAGGAATTAAAGAAGCAAACTCAGGCAGATTTTCTTTGCATTTGGCGGTTGAGGGCGAGAATAGCGAGGAAAAATGGATCTAATTTACTTTTGGCTTAGAGTGCTGGGGGAGGTAGGGGGGCTAGGCTTGATGGTTTGATAGGCTTGTCAAGTGTATGGGAATGGGAAGGGGAATGAATGGGTTCTCCTTCATAAGAGGGATGGAATATATGGGATATATGGGACGCCCTGTGTCATTACGCTTGGTGCCAGGGGAAGAGGGAGAGTTATTACAAAATGTGAAGGAAAAACCTAATCTCCAAATGTTTTATGCAAAACTCTTCAGTTAGGATTGGCAAATCATATATCAGATGAAACGGAAAAACGTTAGTGAATGTTGTCTAGGTAACATATGATTGTATTGTTGTATATATACCTAGGTATATGAACGAGCCATAGATTTTGAAGGAAGTTCAAGAACCCTTCTTGCATGGTCGAAATTTGAGCAATGGTATGTATCATGGTGTAGTTTCCATTGAGGTCAATAGAGGTATCACCGTCTCTGTTGCTATGCCATTTAATATCTATTCACACCATGCCATGTCTAGAGCTAGCTACTCAGGTACATACCTAGATATCACTTGCTCTCTTGCTTCAATCAGCATCAATGTCAACCTCATAATAATAGGTAGAGAGAGATCTTTGATTGCTCTGGTCTGATACAGTGAGAGTAAATTATATTGAGGAAGCATACGCAGTCTGTGTTCAAAGAAATCTATAACCGTTGGCAAATTATACGGATAATTTTAATCATATCCCTTGCGGCCCGCGTCTTGGTATTGTAGATCAATAGTTCTGGAATTTCAGATCTTAATATCTACAATTAGCAAACAACAAGTCGGTTGGAAAGGTCTGCGGTTCTATCGTACTACCTAGAACCTAGAGTATCGATGTTTGTAAGATTCGTGTGAATTTTGGAAGAATGAAACATCACAGACGTACAAGAGGTACCTGAACTTCTCGAACAAGAGATCAGACGTTTTCAGGAGTCATTGACGTATTAATGCTTCGGCATTGCTATTGATAATGTATGGATTTGTCAAGTGGAAATTGAATGAAGGTTGTTTTCTCCCAAACTCTGAAGCAGCTAATGAATGCTTAAAGGGTGCTTCGGTAAAATTTACCATTAGACAACAGTAACCCGTGCGGGTTGACGAGAAATTGCAAAACACTGGATTTTCAATAATTTAGTAAGGATGTCCGCTCATATTGGATGCCCAGCACTCCATAGGCATTCTCAAGGCATTCTCGTAATCTTCTTCATTTTTGGTCATCACGTAAAGCAGAATTTTCATTCTACCGAGTTGCGTGGATGAGCAGTGGCACCTTAAAACCCAGGCCACATTTTCCCCTGAATTTTAGTTGCCGTTGAATTGGCTTTTGAGTTCTCCTTCCTTACCCGCTGTTAGGATGTTTCCACTTTATACCTGTAGATGAAGCATCATTCATCATGAATGAGATATAAGCAGTCAGTGAACAAACATGGAATGAAGCTGTTGTCAACATCCACAACACTACGTACTGACAGTCTGCAGCTAAATACCCTACTGTGTCCACCATTTTGGTTGTATCCATATCCATATCCTTATCCTTATCCTTATTAGACTTTCATTCCCACGGTCCACAAATTCAGGAACTTTCCTTGGTCCGTCTAGTATTTTACCCCATTTAATTAGCTTCTTCTAGAATAGTACAGAGTCTATTAATAGACAGAGTAATACCTGACATTCGGAAACTAGCCGCGGCGGTGGCGCTGAATAATGTACGAATTAACTTTGTCAGACGCTGCCAACGACTTGTTTGTTTGGATGCTAGAGAGCAATGATGACTTCTTTGAACTTATAGTGAAGTTTAAGAACAAGACCTTGTGTATGATTGATGACCACTCCTCCCCAATGAGAAAAGCCCTTTATATTATACGATGATGTACAAGACTTGTGATGTGGTTGATCCAACATTTCATAGGCAGGTGAGCTATAACAGCTGAAACCGAAGCGCAAAAACAGCCAATGATCTCAAATGATTATCAGACCAAAACGCTGGTTAAAGGGGTTAAGCCTGTACTCCATAACATTGCACTCTGTAGACGCGACTTTTCCAAGGAGGTAGTTAATATTACACGACATGCCATATGCCATATGCCATGAATTCGTTGTGAAGCACGAATTAGTGAAGCGGCAAAGAGAAGATCTTCGGGGAGAAGCTTCGAAAAAGCTCCAAGCCTTCCTCGTCCCTTCACATGTTTACAGGAATACGAGATAGTTGTAGATATGTACACGCCAATGCTGAACTTCGAGAATGAGGATTGGATAATTCAAAACGAGCCGCAGCATAGGGATGGGTAATGACGATGCATAGATTTACAATTGGAATCGATAAACTTTTGAGATGAGGCGCAGTCGACATGCATAATTAATATTATACCCGAACGAGCTTTTTCTCGGTTCTCTATAAATAAAAATTTATAATTGAAAATAATAACGGGCTTACTAATATTCTTATAATTATTTTTTAATATTTTTGAGGATCTATATCTACGTTTATAGTATATAGCTTCTAGAACTCTGAAACTTTTTAAATTTTTTAAGTCTTTAAATTCTTAAATTTACTTTAATCTTAGTAGACAATTGAAGCTTTTGAGTTATTCTAATTATTTAAATCATCTAAATCATTTAAATATTTAAAAGTGTTTAAATATCTAAAAGTATTTGAATATTTAAATCATTTTTGATATCTAAATTTATTTGAATATCTGAAATCATTTAAAATTTAAAGTTAGTTGAGTATTTGAAATCATTTAAATATCTAAGATCGTTTGAGTATCAAAATTCGTTTGAATATCTAAAATTATTTAAATATTTAAAATTACTTAAGTATTCGAAAGTAGTTGAATATCTGAAAACATTTGAATATTTAAAATCGTTTATTATCTGAAATTATTTTAAATATTAGAATTATTTTGATACTTTAATTTTAAAATTAATCATGTAAAATTATCAAATTATTTAAAATTATCAAAATCCAATCATTAACTCAAATTATCTAGTTATGAACAATGTCTTAAAATTTATATATTATCTATCTAAGTATATCATTTGTATCATTCACCGATTCAGTATGATTTCATTGGTTCAAATGTCTTTTATTCATTTTACATCGTCTTACTTATACTCAAAAATCGGTAGAGAATGCTTTCAAGGTTCTGAACAATCCAAAAATTATTAAAGGGATCTGAAAATAGCGGGGACCAAGACAAACAAACGAAATCATAAGGAATCCATTCCATCCCTCCTATTTTTTATTGACTTCAAGAATCTGGAAACAGGGTTGCTTTTTTATTACCCTTTCTGAGCCTTTCTTCATATCTTCACCACTTCATATTCTGAGAGGAGAAGATTCATCCATCATTCTTTTCTTCTTTGACTTCTTCTTCTTATCCTCTCTTCAATACTTGGGTACCATCACTGGTATCTTATATTTTTGACTGATTGTTTGTTTCTGAATCAAAATAAAGAATTCTGAGTTGAACTACATTCACTCTTTTACTTAGGTTGCCAAGGAGAGGGCCGATTCGATCTATCTGACCGTCCGTTCCTGAAGCCCACGGATTGACACCGCCATACGAGAATATACCTCTGAATCTTGGACACAACCAACATTCCTCTTTAGATCTATTTCTCATTCATCAAGTATTGATCAAATCTCAAAGATTTTGTCAGTATTAATATTACACTTACCATTTGTATAATCTCGATCACTTTATAAAGGGTTCTTGATTATTTTCCACAACCATGGCATACTCTGGAAACGGAGGCTTATGATGAAGCATAAGCTCCAAGACCTTCCACCTGGAGGGGGTAACGTAAGTTTTGAGACTTCTTTCATCTCTCAGATTGTGGGAAAGCTTTCTCTAACCATAGTTCTTGCAGTACCATCATCCTCAAGATGAAGAGGAAGGTGCTTTACCTTTACTCGATTCTGGAGGACATGGCGGCCCATTCAACAGCCCTTACGACTCTCACTCTCAAGGAGGTCTTCGAGCGAATACTCCTCCCGTTAGACCTGTTTCTGCCTACAGTCTTACAGAAACGTATGCGAACGATCACAACCATTACAGCAGCGATTACAATTCATCCCACACATACAATGAGCAGTTGGAAGATAACCCATACCCACGAACCGAAACTCCTTTGTCACGAGCTGAGACTACCTCCACAGAGGCATGGAGGCAACGACAAGCCCCTCAGCTGGATGGTCCTCAAACGTTATGCTACCAGAAAGGTGAAGCTTGTACAGGGAAGCGTATTGAGTGTTGATCATCCAGTACCCAGTGCTATCAAGAATGCCATTCAACAAAAATACAGGAATGATTTGGAAGGGTGCAGCGAGGAATTCACACATATGCGTTACACCGCTGCAACTTGCGATCCCGATGAGTTTACTTTGAAAAATGGTTACAATCTACGACCCTGCCATGTACAATCGTCAATACTGAGTTTGCTCATCGCTGTTACCTATTACAACGAAGACAAGCAGTTGACTGCACGTACTCTTCACGGTGTCATGCAAAATATCCGCGATATTGTCAACCTCAAAAAATCTGATTTTCTGAATGTCGGTGGACCAGCATGGCAAAAGATTGGTTTGTCTGCCTTGTTTGCGATGGTATCGACCCTTGCGACAAAGATACACTTGGACGTCTAGCTACTATTGGTATCTACCAAGATGGTGTCATGAAGAAAGATGTCGATGGAAAGGAGACCGTTGCCCATGTTTTCGAATATACAACACAACTTTCGGTCACTGCCAGTCAACAACTTATCCGCCCAACTGAGGGCGACGCCACTGACTTACTCCGGTAAAAATGATGTTTTGCTTGAAAGCAAAGAACACAAAGAAGATTAACTCCCATAGATGGCTGTTTAATGCGTTTGGTCGTCTCCTCAACCCGGAAGTCTGCATCCTTTTGGATGCCGGTACCAAGCCCGGTCCTAAATCACTTTTGTCTTTATGGGAGGGCTTCTACAACGACAAAGATCTTGGAGGTGCTTGCGGAGAGATTCATGCTATGCTTGGGAAGGTTAAAATGTCTAATTGAAATTTGATGCTGCCAGATGTGCTAACGCAAATACAGGGTGGCAAAAAACTTCTCAACCCGCTTGTTGCAGGTCAAAACTTCGAGTATAAGATTAGTAATATTCTCGACAAGCCTCTAGAGAGTTCTTTCGGATACGTTAGTGTGTTGCCGGGAGCTTTCTCTGCATATCGATTCCGAGCTATCATGGGACGTACCCTCTTGAACAATACTTCCACGGAGATCACACTTTGTCCAAGATTCTTGGAAAAAAGGGTATGAGGGATATGAACATTTTCAAGAAGAACATGTTCTTGGCTGAGGACAGAATTCTCTGTTTCGAGCTTGTAGCCAAGGCTGGTAGCAAGTGGCATTTGACTTATATCAAGGCAGCTAAAGGAGAAACTGATGTACCTGAAGGAGCTGCTGAATTCATTGGTCAGCGTAGAAGATGGCTTAACGGTTCCTTTGCAGCAGGAATGTATTCCATCATGCATTTCGGCAGAATGTAAGTTTTATACGTGACGGCCCGTACTCTGAGCGTCAGAAACTAACCGTCTTCATAGGTACAAGAGTGGTCATAATATTGTCCGCATGTTCTTCTTGCATATCCAATTCTTATACAACGTCTTCTCCAACGTTCTCAGTTGGTTCATGTTATCTTCTTTCTGGCTCACAACTACTGTTATTATGGATCTTGTCGGTACCCCTACCCCCGCTTCGGACACTACTGCCCTTCACCATGGCTGGCCTTTCGGTGATACTGCTACCCCCATCATCAACACGATTCTCAAATATCTCTACCTGGGATTCCTACTCGTTCAATTCATTCTGGCTCTTGGTAATCGACCTAAAGGATCTAAGGTTACTTATATCGTATCCTTTATCGTCTTTGGTGTTATCAATCATCTTATGTCCTTGTCCTATCCATGTAATCTGTTGTCGTGCTTTCGCATCAGGAGGAGTCCTCGATACTAGTAACGCCGAAAGATTATTCTTTGAGAAGTTTCTTCGGAAGTAGTTCGAGTTCCGGAGCTGGTATCATTATTCTGGCTTCTAGCTGCTACATTCGGATTGTACTTGTTGCATCCTCTGTAACATGGATATTGGCAAATGTTTCATTCCTTTGGGCCATACTTGTTGCTCATGTCATCTTACATCAACATTCCTCATGCGTATACGCTTTCATTATAATTGGCATGATGTTTCCTGTGGGTACCAAGGGATCTGATAAGGCAGAAGCTCTTCCATCAGCTAAAACTACGAAGGTTTGATGGTAAAGCAGCAGTTTATTGAAGAAATTTGACAGACCGCAAGAGGATATTGACAGTCAGTTTGAGGCAACTGTTAAGCGTGCTCTTAAGCCATTCGTTCCTGAAGTTGAAGATGAGAGCAAGACCTTGGAGGATTCTTACAAATCTTTCAGAACCAAGCTTTTGATCTCTGGGTATATCAAACGCTTTGTTGGCTGTTTGCTATCACGAGTGACAGTGTTGATAGATTTGGTTTCGGAGGTGAGTTATTCTATTGCCGACAATAGTTGGAATTTCCCAGCTAATATTATGTTCAGAATACTGCATCAATTAGAACTGCCAAGTTCTTCGAAGTTCTGCTTTACTCAACGGCTTTCTTGGCGCTTATTCGTTTCCTCGGATGTTCTTACTTCTTGTTCAAGTCTGGTATCATGTGCGGCTTCATGAGACGTTAGACAAGACTTACACCATACATACTTTAGAAACAAATATCGGTCCTCGCACCACTAAAAGGTTACGAGTAATAAATGTTTCTTTTTCCAAAAAATTGGAGGGCGGAGAGGAGGATCGACCCTTTATACGGAGTGTGAGCACCTATCATTGGAAAGGAATCAGCGCTTGAATCTACAGCAGGCAACCATTTTTTGCATTTTTGCTTGCACATATGGGAGCTTTGAGATTTTTTCTCTTCCTAGGCGGTCTCTCTATATTGCATGTTTGAGTAGGCGTTTCCGTTTAATACTATTGAATACCCTTATGAATGAATAACCATTCGTATCTATTGAGTTAGATGTTATCTCATCAAAAATCCAATGTGCACCGTAGCAAACTATATGAGAAACTTGATTTAGGACTTACATGTGACACAAAACGGGTTGGCCACTCGCGTGACGCTTTTGATAAGAAATCGAACCCCGCCAGCCCGCCAGTCCGCCAGCCCGCCTCATAACTTTCGGCAAGGCGTCAGCAACCAAAAATTCCTACTGTAGCAGCCGTATTATTGTATATTTGACAAGGCACAATATTCTATAACATCATTTTGATACAACAGACTGGAGCTATTCACTTATTCCGAGTTCCTATACTTTTATAACTGGGTACAAAACGACTCTCTCGCTTACTCTTCTCTCATTGTAAAAGGTCATTTCTCAAACATTATTTCAATACCTACAATATAATTCTCAACTTCCCAACTCCAGAATTGCACTCTCAATACTCCAGTTGAAGAGTCATCAATAGTCAAGATGTTGAAGATATGGTCCATGGTATGTGCGCATCAGAACTGGGATTCCAGCAACGATGTGTAACGCGTTCGGAATACTGACATTGTACGCAGAAACAAAAACAGCAGCAAGAGGCAAATGCCGATGCTGCTGCAGGTATCAAGAAGAAGAAGGTTACGGCCGCACAACTTAGATTGCAGAAAGGTAAGAGGAACAGATTCCAGGCTTTTGAGCGTATACGGAAGGCACAGAATGAGATTGTACTGGGCATGCATGTATGAGGACTAACATCGTGCGCTGTCAGATATTGCTGAAATGTCGCTGCCCTCTACTATGCGCACCGATTTTCCCGACGAAGACGACATTCTCAACTTCTTTCTCTATATCGAACCAGACGAAGGCATGTACAAGGGTGGAATTTTCAAATTCAAATTCGCTGTTCCGGAAACGTTCCCACACGAACCGCCCAAGGTCAACTGTGAACAGAAGATCTATCACCCAAATATCGATGTTGAGGGAAAGATTTGTTTGAATATTCTGAGGGAGGACTGGAAACCAGTGTTGAACTTACAAGCGATTGTTATAGGATTGCAGGTATGATTTGGCAAGCGGTTTTCATGGATACATATGATGTCTCTGGTCTGCAAATTTACTTAATACTGACGACTGGATGAACAGTTCCTTTTCCTCGAACCAAACGCCTCGGATCCACTTAATAAGGAAGCTGCAGAGGATTTGAGATCAAACCGAGAGGGATTCAAGCGGAACGTGAGATCTGCTATGGGAGGTGGATCTGTAAAGAATGATTCATTCGATAGGGTATTGAAGGTTTGAAGGGAGAAGGCATATGGATTAAACAATTACTATGCTTTCAATATGCATTATGCATCAATACAAACGATGTCAAGATAGGGTTATACGATCCGGACCAGTACTACAATTCCAGCACCACGCACCAATGTGTGAGGTCACAACATGAGGACGGGGGCATAATGGGCGTTTTTTTCTTTCTATTTGGAGATCGAGGACCTTTCATGTAGCCCTTTTGGCTGCTGATCTTATATCAGGCTTTGTGTTGTAGCTGTAGAAAGAATACATTGTGTTTGAGCCAGAGAGGAAGGGGGAAGTAGTCAATAGGGTTAATACAATGAATGAATACATATAAACAGATATCTTTCTGAATTCAAGTAAAGGGGAGTGAAACCGCCAAAGCAATGACTACCGGAGGACTACCGGAGCGTCATTTCATGAGTACATCTGATTCTGATGCCAACCCCTAGAGTATAGGAGTGAGTATTACGATTTCTCCGATATATGGAGGCATAGCGAAAGAGTCATATCTGTAAATGGAAACATTCTGCTTGGTAACTTCATCTATCTATCTCCACTACTGTTGTCAATTCATATATCGGGGTATACTAGGCAAGTCGGAGCGCGCGAGGCCAGTTTCTCGTAGTCAATCAATTGTAAACTAACACAAGCTATTTCACGGCTTGGACCGTGGCCGGAACAATACCGGAGGGATGGGTGAGGCTGTGATGTGGCCGAATTTCCACTATAGCCTTCCTTTCCTTTCGGATAGATAGATGATCTAGATTGTCGGATTTTGTATATTTAATTGCGAAACGTAACTACCTATCTAGGTACGATTGAGGATGAGATTGGCTACATATGTATATAGGTAGGCATAGGTAGCTATTGAGGTAAAAAGAAATATAACAATATAATCAGATTTGCATTTACAGATATTTAAAGTTTTTGTAAAGTTTAATAATTTGCCAAATTGAGTTCAGTTTTAAGACGCATGTACACATAGATTATTTTCACTTTCTGCAAGCCAAAATCAACCATTTTATTGGATGATATACACATTGAAATACAACCCGCACTGTTGGCTTGCCAAGACTTTCCCACCCACAGAAAGTGCGATACTGGAGAATACCCCTGTCAAAGGTACCTCCGGAACCGGGCAGGAAAATTTCCTAGCTACTGTTGCCCACAACAAAAAGACGAAGAGTCACATCTACAACTTTTGATTTAAACCTCAAAATACCCTTTTGCTACACTTCCTTTTTTTCGAACTCCACTCACTTCTTCCTTCAAAATGGCTGTCCGTACATTTTCCAGAGTCGCTAGACCAGTTGCACGTCAATTGACTGCACCAGCACGCAGAACTTTTGTCTCTGCTATCAATGCCTCAGCCAGACCTTCTGCTGCCCGTGCTGTTGTTGGAGCTTCCCAACAAGTCAGAGGTGTAAAGACCATCGACTTTGCTGGCACAAAGGAGAAGGTTTACGGTATGAATTCAGATCTCAATTTGCATATTACTGGAAACTGACAACTTTAACAGAGAGAGCCGACTGGCCAGTTGAGAGACTCCAGGTATGATTAACAACTCACAACCTTTGACATTGACTTTTGCTAATATCTATCTTCCAGGAATACTTCAAGAATGACACAATGGCCATTATTGGTTACGGTTCCCAAGGACATGCTCAATCTTTGAACATGCGTGATAACGGTCTTAACGTCGTAGTCGGTGTACGAAAGAACGGTCAATCATGGAAGGATGCTCAACAAGATGGTTGGGTTCCAGGAAAGAACCTCTTCGAGGTTGATGAGGCTATCTCCAAGGGTACCATCATCATGAACTTGCTTTCCGATGCTGCTCAAAGTGAAACTTGGCCAGCACTTAAGCCCCAGATCACCAAGGGAAAGGTATGGACATATGTTCAAGTTCCAATGATCAAAACTGACTTCTGCAGACTCTCTACTTCTCCCACGGTTTCTCCCCAGTCTTCAAGGACCAAACCAAGGTCGATGTCCCAACTGACGTTGACGTCATCCTCGTTGCACCAAAGGGATCTGGACGTACCGTCCGAACTCTCTTCCGTGAGGGTCGTGGTATCAACTCTTCCATCGCCGTTTTCCAAGATGTTACCGGTAAGGCACAAGAGAAGGCTATCGCTCTCGGTGTCGGTGTTGGATCCGGATACCTTTACGAGACCACCTTCGAGAAGGAGGTTTACTCCGACTTGTACGGTGAGCGTGGTTGCTTGATGGGTGGTATCCACGGTATGTTCCTCGCACAATACGAGGTTCTCCGTGAGCAAGGTCACAGCCCAAGTGAGGCTTTCAACGAGACTGTTGAGGAGGCTACTCAATCTTTGTACCCATTGATTGGTGCCAACGGTATGGACTGGATGTACGAGGCTTGCTCTACCACTGCTCGTCGTGGTGCTATCGATTGGTCCGGAAAGTTCAAGGATGCTTTGAAGCCAGTCTTCAACGACTTGTATGACTCCGTCAAGACCGGAAAGGAGACTCAAAGATCCCTTGAGTTTAACTCCCAAAAGGATTACCGTGAGAAGTATGAGGCTGAGATGAAGGAGATCCGTGATTTGGAGATCTGGAGAGCAGGAAAGGCTGTTCGGTAAGTTACAATCATTCATCACTACGTGTTGTATAATCACTAACATTTTTATTAGTTCCCTACGTCCTGAAAACAACTAAATGGATAGTTAATGGGGCAGTGGGGCTGGAGTTGCATATTTGAAATTGGGCCAATTGTATCATACTCTCATGACTTTCCGTTTTTTTATCAACGGTATCTGGAATTAAAAGTTTAAGCCATTGAATTCAAAAATTATATTTCCAATTGTTCTTTTGATTGACTATACTTGTGCACTTGTTCATGCTTCCCTGTTCGGCCGAGATCGGCATGATTTTCACCAAACCAGGGTCTCATTTATATGAATCATCCGGGCAATGCCCCGCCCCCACCATATCAATTATGCTATATGGTTAGCAGCTGCACCCTTCCTTAACATTGCAATTTATTTCCAATTCATGTTAACACATTTACAAGTGTCTTCAATTTAGATCAATACTCACAATGGCAGATCCCAACACTCGTCTCCCTCTTAATCGCCAATCAGTTCTGGATGCTCACGAGCTGATTAAATCGCATATTCATCATACCCCAGTTCTGACAAATAGGACAATTGACGAAATAGCGAGTACACCACAGACTGCGGAGGCATTGAAAGGGACAGAATGGGAAGGAAAAGAACCTGCGAGACCGAAAATTAGACTATGGTTTAAATGTGAGAATCTACAGAGGGTGGGCGCATTCAAAGTTAGAGGGGCTTTTCATGCGCTGAAGAGGTTAGAGGAGGCAGAAGGAGGGGTCGAAGCTGGACATGGAGAAGGAGGTTGGAGACAGATGGGTGTGGTAACACATAGTAGTGGTTTGTTCACTATTTTTTTGACTTTTTCTTGGCTTGCAAATTGTTCTTTGGCATTATCATCATCTCTGGCTTTCTTCCAATCTGCCAACAATCTCTGGAGGCTAAAGATACTAATATAACTCTGATGATAGGAAACCACGCACAAGCCCTCGCACTCGCAGCTCGTGAGCTCGGAATCCCAGCCCATATCGTCATGCCCACTATCTCGACACCATCGAAAATAGCAGCGACAAAAGGTTACGGCGCAAATGTTAGATTCAGCGGGTCAACGTCAGTAGAGCGAGAAGCGATGGTTGAAGAAGTTATGAAGGAAACAGGCGCAAAACTTGTGCCGCCATACGATCATC